GGGTTTAGGGTTTAGGGAAGCTTGAAGAAAACTGGCGATCCGGATTCTTGGGCTGACGATGTAGAGATCTAGGAAGCGACGGAACTTCTTGAAAGATACCAGGATAAGAATCTTACCAGGTCATGTTACACACGGCACGGGTGTTTTGCCGTTGGGGATTTCGCGCCTAGACCTACGCCATACGCCACAAACCCCCAAAACCCTAAAACCCTGTAACCCTCTAAAACCCTAAAACCCTAAGTGAAGCCCTAATGAAACCCACAAAAAAAACCCTTCCAACCCGAGCTCCTCGGACTCGGGCCTGTGGCCCTGCCCCTGGAGCTCTCGCGCCCATCCCGGGGCCATGCTCGCCCACTTCATGTCGAAGCTGCCGGTGTTCAGCACGAGCTTCCTTTTCGGGTTTGGGGCCTTTTTTTAACAGCTGGGGTGACTCTTTTACGTCCGGGGGTTTAGGGTTTAGGGTTTAGGTATGAGAAAGTAGAAACAGAAATGCTGGTTTTTTGGGGGGGTCTCGTTACTCTCGTTCAGAAACTGGTAGACGCAAACCCTAAACCCTAAACCCTTAACCCTAACATCAAAAACGAAGCAGGATCCCAAACGTTGAGCTAGTTTCGGGCTGACGACACCGAACTGGCTCTCGACTATGCGTGCCGCTGGGTTCAGCCTCTGCAGAATGCCTTTGAGGCGATCAAGATCCTCGGTTTAGGGTTTAGGGGTTTAGGGGTTTAGGGGTTTAGGGCTTTAGGGCTTTAGGGCTTTAGGCGTTTACGGGGTTTAGGGAGCAAGATCCTCGGAAGAGACGAGATCGGTCTTGTTCAGGACCAGCATGTTGGCGAATTCCACCTAGTTCTGAAAGTGGGGATCGTCCCGGTTTGGTAGTCCTTATACGAGGAACCTACCTATCTATCATCTGACGGGTGATACAAAGGTGCCTTCTCTTCTTAAAAGCTCCCACCTGCTCCACCAGGAGGTCCACAATGGAGCGCTTGTCGCCGTCCTCAGCGCCCAACTCCTTTCGGTCGACGGCCCTCTCCTCCGAGCGATAATCATTCAGGAAGTTCTTGCAATCCACCACTGTTACCAGTGTATCTAACCTCGCCACACCGCCCAGAAGCGCCAAGCCCTTGTCATCGGAGGCTGCGAAGGTGCTGGCCACTGGCATCGGCTCGGAGATCCCGGTGCTCTCAATTAGGAGGTGCTCGTAGCGGCGCTCCAACGCCAAAGCTTTGACACTCTCTATCAAATCCTCGCGCAGCGTGCAGCAGATGCAGCCGTTGTGGAGTTCCACCAGCTTGTCTTTATTCTCCTGGGCCGCAGTGGCAACGGTAAGGATAATCCCAATGAGAGGGATATCACCATCAGATCATCTGATCTCGACATTTGGAATCATCTTTCCCGCATCACCAGCTGTGCTTGCTGTTGCTGCTAATCATGCACTGTGAGTGCTGCAATCGTTGATAGCCTGTTGTAGTTGCAGTTGTTGCTGCTGTTGCGGTCGTAGTTGTGATCGTCATCGTCGTCGTCGCCTGCTTGTCGTCGTTGTCACCGTCGCTGAAGTAACGACAGCGGCGATTCACATGTGGATGATATCTGGGATGGTAGTGGGAGTAGATTCTAACCCAAGCATCCTAACACTGCCAGCTAGGAAGGCACCGCACAACAAGGACGACCGCCCGCTCCTGCAAGCGCACGCCGTCGGCCACAAGGTCCGCGTCGATGTTGATCGATGCCATGTCGTTCACGAGGACCGCGACCCGCATGCCCTCCCGGTTGTTCAAGACATGGGTGAGCATAGTCGTCTTCCCAGCGCCCAAGAAGCCACTGAGCAAAGTCACCGGAAGCTTCTCCGTCTCATCCAGGCTGACGTCTCCAGAAAGCCGAGTGAGGGCAGCCCCGTTCTCAGCCATGTCGCGCCAGGGAGCCGATGTCAAGAGCACAAAGCTATTGTATGCCCCTAAGAATCTGGCGCAGATACAGACTTCGAGGAGAAACTGAACCTTCCCAAACGATCAAAATCTTCTGGTTTGCAAACGGATATTGCAAAACATGAAAAAAGTTCAAAGTAAACTGGACATGCTTCGCGGATTTCCACAGCCTGCGTACATTCACCGCAGACCCTCCACCCTAAACCCTAAACCCGAAAACCTGAACCCTGAACCCCTAAACCCTAAAACCCTAAAACCCTAAACAATAACAGAGCTCCGTGCAGATTGAATTTCTCTTCGGAGCCGAACGGCAAAGTGTCTTTAGGGGTTAGGGTTTAGGGGTTTAGGGGTTTAGGGGTTTAGGGTTCAGGGTTCGCGATCTAGGCTTCAGGCCTCCCGGCTTTTAAGGTTCAGATTTCAGTTGTCAGGGGCCCACAGTTCCCAGCTCCACTGCTGAACCTGCTGGAAGAAATATCCAAAACGCTTCTGTTTAGGGTTTAGGCTTTAGGCTTTAGGGTTCAGGTCTGAAACCGTGCATCCACATCTAGACGTCTTCATGTGCGTCCAAATCCAGAAAGTCTTCCCCGAAAGCCTTTAAAAGCCTGCACCGCACGGTTGCTGCTTCAATCGACGTGAGGAGCTCTCAATTCCAATAGGAACCCTCATAAGATTTAAAGTATATTCCTTAATTTAAGGAATATATACCTTAAATGATAATAGGAACCCCAATATTCCTTAATTTACGGGATATACCTTAAATGATCATAGGAACCCCAATAAGATTTATCAGCCCAAATTCAATCGGATCCTGGACCCGACTCGGACCGCCATGGGCCAAAACCAATACTACTGTTGATGATATAGATCCTACACTACCTTAAGGACCCTAAACTATGGGAATTATGGGCATCTCCCTTACTATGGGTAATGCAGGATTTATATCATCAACCGTAGGCTTCAAAACCTGAACTTAAAAGTCCACGAGCTTGCATCCAGTGTGTGCAGACAACCGATGATGGTTTGCTTGAGGCCATGGAAACCTCTGCTGTCTTTCAGCAACCAATGGTGTCTAACATTCCAACACAACTAAAGCATCACGAAAGCAGCTACCCTGGCTTGCAGCACACCGCTGGCCAGCACCGCTTTTCCTTCCCCAGACCCTTTGTCTTCGATCCGGGCGACAAGGATTCGAGCCCCGAGGAGCCGAAGGGTCTCTGACCTCTCCCGCGTGCCTCGAGTATCCACAGCCTACAAAACGAGCTTGACAAAAAGCACTTCGCACAGGCGCGGAAACCGCATTTGTGACTGCTGACAGTTTAGCCGCGTGCAAGAGTTGAAAACAGAGGCGCCTGAGTCTAGAGTCTGCCCCACCAACAACTGCACGTGCGAGGTCTCCCCAGGCCAGCATGCCTCAAGGACTCTTTGCACATGCACCTGCGTTGCCGCCGTTGGCGAGACAAGCTTTCCTTGACTACACCGTCGAAAAGAAAAGCTGGCCGGCAACGAAGGCAGATCCAGCCCAAGCACCAGGAAATCGTCTGCATTCTGCAGACTCTGCAAAAGAAGGATGAGCAGATCATCTCGAAACTTGTTCGTCGACAGACTCGATGGCACTGCCTCGTGCAACAGCCTGTCTCGTTTAATCGTAGCTTCGTCATGCGCAGAACCATCACACTTTTTAGTTGCACTCAAATGTGACGACTTGAGATGCAAGACTGCTGCAAGGCTGCTGGCAAAACGCACGAGCAGCACAGTGCGTAGATTGACTGCTAGCAGTATTGCCGCATGAAGGTGTTAAAAATAGGCGCCGGTAGCTGAGTCTGCCTCACTAACAACTGCACGTGCGAGGTCTCCCCAGGCCAGCATGCCTCAAGGACTCTTTGAACGTGCACCTGCGTTGCCGCCGTTGGCGAGACAAGCTTTCCTTGACTACACCGTCGAACAGAAAAGCTGGCCGGCAACGGAGGCAGATCCTGCAAGGTCTGCAGTAGGCAGACGATTCTGTAAAAGAAGGACGAGAAGAACCAATGTGTTCTCCGACAGAGTGGATTGCACTGCCTCATGCAACAGCCTTCATTCTAGCCAGGTGATCTCTTTTAATCCTAGATTTGCCATGTAACATGCTTAATCGTGACCCGACTTGTGATGCAAGACTGCTGCAAGGCTGCTGGCCAGACGCACAAGCAGCGCAGAGCATAGTAGATGATCAAGCCTCCCCCCAGG